GAGAATCAGGGGCTGTACTTGAGGCCCAGAGGTGCTCAATTTAAATAGAGAAGGGAAAGAAGTGGCCCTGAGTACTTCGTTTTTCCTTCCAGCTGCACTAATCAAAATCACCACACCTCCCAGGAGGTGCGGAGGAAAGGGGTGGTGAGCTAGGATGGTGGCTGAGGAATAGGGCCCAAGATCGGGAGGACCGAACTCCCAATACCAGTTGTCCTCAACTACTGGAACTCAGTGATTCTAGCCCCGTGTCTTCCCCAGTATGACTTTGGAGGGCACTGATGGAAAGGCCTAGCCCTGGGAGCCCCAGTCTTTGGCCCCCTCCACCCTCAGCCCGCTCAGGTTCTTACAGATGAGCTGGACTTAACCTGCAGTTGGCTTAGTGGAGAAGGCAGTGATAGCTGGGTAGGACCCAGGCTGCATTCCCAAGAGGTATCCCCAGTGGAAAGTGCATGGGCCTTCTGCCTCACAGCAGCCCTGTCCACACAGGTGTTCACACAAAGTCCAAATCAATAAGGTCCATGCATCGTGACTATTGAAAGTGATGCATATGTTTGAGTGTGTTTAAATTGTTATATATGAGTGTGTGTTTAAATTATGTATTTTACATTAGAAAATATCCAAGGTATATATTTGTTGGAACTACTCTAAATGCCTATGATAAAGTGCTTTGGAAACATGGCAAAAGAAACTAGTGCAATTAAACAAAAATGCCCATTACTTCCCATTGTAAAATTAAAAAAGAAAAAAAATGTGTTTTATTTCAAGGCATAATAAGCACACTTTAATATATTAACAAAAATTTTATGATACATTTAAATAGGAACATTTCTTTAATGAGACAATCATACTCAAGCTAAGATATAATGAACAATAAAGTGTTGATTTTGATACTGGACATTCACTTCTCTTATTCAATAAACGGGGAAGTGTTCTGCTACCTTTACATTCAATATAAGACATATCAAACCCAGGAAAAATACTACAACAAACCTGGTTTATGAAAAGAACCTTTAAAATCTATTTATATGCAAAGAGTTTGTTCTATAATAGAATCCATTTTAATATAAGGAATTCATGAGGACATCACCAACTCATCAGACATTCTGTAAAACAGGCACACTTAAAATTTCCTAATCACAGCTCTGGGGTTGTAGCGCTGACACACTGGGCTGCTTTAACTGAAAGGTTCGCGGTTAGAAACCACCAGTGGCTCATTGGGAGAAAGACCTGCCTTTCTCCGTGGTAAAGAGTTACAGTCCCATAATCTCACAGGGCAGTCCTGTCCTGTCCTATAGTATAGCTGTGCCATGAGTCAACATCCACTCTATGGCAGTGAGTTTGGTTTGGGATTTTTTAATCATGTGAAGTTATTCTTTATCAAGTATGATATGGCTTTATTTCTAGTTTTGAAAAAGGAAACAATTACCGTATATACTCGAGTATAAGCCAACCAGGATATCAGCTGAGGCACCTAATTTTACCACAGAAATTGCATTAAAAATGTGCTGAACAGTTCACAATTGCAAGGAGGTGGAAACAAGCCAAATTTCCATCAACAGATGAATGGGTTAAAAACCTCTGGTACATACACAGAATGGAGTATTACACATCCCTATAAAGCAGTGATGAACGCATGAAGCACATGGCTGCGTGGGAAGAAGTGGAGGAAATCATGCTAAGTGAAGTAAGCCAAGCACAAAAGGGCAAGTACTACATGAGTCCACTGAGGTAAGCTCAAAAAGTTCAAAAGGGGCTTAGGGAAGAAGCTACTGTATACATACGTCCCTGGGGTGAGGTCCAGGTAATATGGCAGGGGCCAGACTAAACTCAGGGGTACATATGGGATACATATGGTAGTCCACTAAAAAGGAAGGGGGGAGGAAGACATGGGTAGCCAGGGGAACAGGGCATTAACCTACACAGGGGGAGGGTGTTGATTTTGTCTCCACAGGGAAAGAGGGACCAGACTTCAACCTGGTGCTCCAAGACAAGAACGGAACACACTGACATGAAGCAGAGAACTGATAGAGAGGCCTCAGGAACTGGCCTC